AACGCCGAGGCAAAAGACCACAAAAAAACATCAGCACTCAACCACACTGCGTTTTAAAGGAAGACTACAGAACAACGTCAGCGCAGGAAAAAAACGGAATGGACGAGCCCCCAAATATGTTACGGCCTCCAAGAATAAAGCTCAAAAGGGGCAGGAGGCTGCAACATATGTAAAAAGGACACCAGACAAGAACAGTTCACCCAAGCTTTATTGAAATATCTCCCAAAATTAGTCATAGTTTATCGACCTAAACCAACGAAAACAAAAAGGACTGGAGACCCCGGCTAAAATAAACAAAAGACAGGTAAACGATGGGCCAACCACGCAGTGGGCCGTTGCTCCCAGCGCTTCCTCCTAAACTACCTAAACCCAACTTAACCTAAAACAAAAGACGAATAACATGACTACCGGTAATCTCCAGCCCAAAAGAACATAAACAAAAATAACAAAACCCCACCGCACCTAACTGTGTGTGGAGGAACAAACCCTGCTTGGAGAAGGTAGAGAGGTCAAAAGGACCCGCACCCAGGTACAGCTAGCTGTCTGTCTGTGTGTGTGTGTGTGTCTCTTCCCATTGTCTCTGCACTCTCCGCCCCTTTTATCCCTTCCCCCGAGTGCTGATTGCACCCAGGTGTACACCAGGAGGAGGGAACTGGGAGGCAAGTGTAGCTGTGAGAGAGGACAGGACACCAAAACCAGGGCACACGCAACACACGCTAAAAGTTTCTAACTAAAAGTTTTCTCCTAAAACCTATTCACAAAGCTGCTGAGACCAGTTTTTAGTAAGGAGAAGCAAAAACCCCTATACTAAGAGTGCGCCTCCATTGCTATGGCTGACGTCAATTTTCGTGGACGAGCTCCCTTGCAGGAACCACAGTGATTGGTTGAAAATGCATGCACAATATCCCGCAGTAATAATAAAAAAACACTCAGAAATAAACAAATACAAATTAAGATTAGTTGCTGTTTACTAAAGTAGTGCATTCTCCAAAGTGCATCTGTATGATCAGGTTTGTGTCGACCCCCGAGAACTTAATTTTACTATAAAAACTTACATTCAATTTTCTCAATGGAAAAAAAAATTAAACTGTCCTAGATGACCTAACTTAAGCTAACTGGCAGCCTATTAGCCAATCTCTGTTGTAGCTGTACCTGTAGCTGTGGGTTGAGGTGTGAGAAGATTTCCCCTGTCTCACCAGGTGACATCCAGCTGGAATATGATCCTTTCAAACAGCTGATCAGGTCACTCTCCATTAAGATCCATAATTCGTGTGTAGATTCTGGACAACAGTGTCTACAACTGTACAGGCAGCATCAATACGTGTGTTGATGGTGAGACTTTGTTTTCTTGTTTACAAATACCTCCTTGTCTTGCAATGGTGCAATAATTCCATCTGGCACCAATCACATGGGTAGACAGACCATGAAGCTGCTTTGTTTCTCTGTAGCTGTTGAACGTCTAAAAGAAATCATATGGATTGTCCTAAGATGTTGGGTCAGAACACATTAATGTTTCGTGAACAGTTAGGCTTTTCTCTGTTGCCAGCGTTGCCAAATGCTTAATTTCCACTGATCGGGTTGTTTCAGTTGGAGATGTTTGCACCTTCACAAACTCCACTACGATCATTATTCCCTCATGATTGAGTCGTATCTTTTATGTAATTCAGCATCATGTAAGGTTTCCAAAACACTGCGACGTGGAATGACAGCAGGTCTTTTAAGATTGTTTGTGATTTGGTCTTAGTGAGTTAGAAGTCCTCTCAACTGCTTCTAATTTCTAGGTGCTACTTTTAGCACCAAGTGTCTTTGTGAATTACTCTTAGTCAGAAAAACCAGGAGTCCTAAAGTTAGGACTGACACACCAATTATTTTTAGGAGTTTCTTTTAAATCAGCAATTTAGGAACTACATTTAACCTCAAGATACTTTGTGAATACGGGCTCTGGTCATATGCCTGTCAACACACACCATGATGTTGTCATGCCATTTCCATTCATTTTTTCCAGCCAGGGAGAGCTCAGCTCTTCATAACAATACATGGGCTCCCCTGAAAACATGATTTGTGAAATTTTTGGTCTCTGAAAATATTAACAATGTTATTTTGCCATGCATTTTCTAGTTTTATGTATCTTCATCAACATGGACCATGTGTTAAATTAAGGAATGCTAATATTTCATTCATGCATGACGGCAATTTATCACTGTTTCACTTTAATAAAGATGACTACATACATACTGTTCTTGCCATCATAAGCACTGTTGATGAAGACTGAATCTCTGGTGTGCTTTGTTTCTGATTCAATGCTCATAGATTTGTGTGTAGGCTGTTTCGCTATTTGACTATTTGACTTATCTGTGTGCAGTTTGTGCGAATAAAATATAGAATTTAGTACATTACATTTATACTGTATATATACAGTATATATACACATATCAGATGCAAGTAGGGCTATATGCTTGCAGCTGTAAGAAAATAGCTCTTTAAATTCCTAACCTAGCAAGAGCCTTCGGAAGATGAGCTCTCTTTAAACTCAGAATTCATGTTGCCAGTTCATTCATTTCATCCTTCATCCATCGATTTTAAGATTCTCTCAATCAGTAACAATAATAATCATCATCATGGTCATAATCACCATCATATTCATCAGTGCCTCAACAGTTACAACACCATCATCTTCAGCATCATCATCATCACCATGAACAGCTACATCATCATCTTCATCATCATCATCTTTAACATCACCATTATCATCATCATCATGGTTGAATCTAATTCTTTTAATTCTTTAAATTCCTTGACTGTTGAGGCATTGATGAAGATGATGGGGAAGAAGATAGCTCCTGTTAACACCATGGTATAGTTTGTACACTGCAAGTGTAAAAACAGTGCATACAGTCATACAGTGCATACACCACAGTTCATCCCGTCCACTCAGCCTCTAAACACACAGCAGACGTCACTTAACATCACCACAGACACATCTGAGTCTGCTCTCACCACCGTCTGCTCTCCAACTCAAACACACACACTCTTCTCTAAACTGATGTGGAGAATCTGGGCTGCTGTCTGTAAAAATAACCATAATGTACTGCAGCAGTGAGCCAGGCTGTGTGACTGCATGTGAACATATCGGGAAGCACGATTGCTCTCTCAAAACTAGCGTGACACAGAAACAGGCACTCGCTCTCTCACTCTCTCTCTGGGTGTGCGAGGCAGGGTGGAATATCACTCAGCATTCCTGCTCTGTAAAACCTGATCTGGGTCTTGAAGAATCTGGTTTAGTCATATTAGCTCAGCAGCTGCTGCATGCTTTTATCCCCCCCAAAAAGACCAGCAGAGCACTTTTTTATCACCGACTCGTTTGTCCTGGTGAGAATCAAACCCGCAGCCTTGGCAGTGTTTGTGGCTTGCTCGGATAATTTCTGCCTCCCTGCATTTGAATGTTTCCAGTACCAGCTTATCTCTCTGTCTGTCTTTATGGGACTCTGAGCCAAAATATGTTACCCACTAAATATTTTCCAGACTCAAGTTTACCAAAATATCCTAATTATGATCTTCTTGTTTCAGCAGTGGAACAGCTTTACTATTAAATGCTACAGGAGAGGGTGAACAAACTTTAACTCTGCTGTTTGGAAATTAGCGAGACGATATTAATATTTAATATTAATATTTCTATTTAAGAGTCTTTCAATCCTGGCAGAATAGCCCCCTACACGAGGTCTCCAGCTAACAAACAGACTCTGTGGTCGTGGTTCGATGAGAAAGATCATCGAAACTACAAATAATGGAGAGGTCATAGGTGTAGAGCTCCCAGAGCGCTCCGCCACACCCCGCCACTTTTATTCTCCAAATGATGACATAAAATTTCCACAGTTCACATAATCTGGTTTAAATTACAAACATTTTTTAGCACTTGAAGATCCAATCATCACTAAAGCATGTGTCATGCTAATAAAAACAAATGAAATGGTCAAAGTTGTCATATTGACATTTAAGGTGTATTGATTGATTTCTAAACGTCAATCATGCATTGAGTAACACACAAGGAGACATTCCACCAAAAGATGGCGGTACCTGCTGGTAGCCTCTGAGCTGCTCAGTGAATTAAATGGTTAATTAGTAAAGATGAAAACATCCTTTCATTCATCATTCACTCTTCTAACACTTTCTTTATCTGTATTTACACAGAAACATGACAGAGTCAGTTTGGTAAATGGTGTGTGTGCATGCATGCGCGTTGTTAACGGGAGGCTACTTGATCTGCTTCTGTGGACTGTTACACACCAACTGGAGGGACTGGACTCCATGTCGTCTCACCAGGATCAGATCCTGTTCATCTGGGCTTGATGTAGTTGAAGGCCAGGATGAAGTCTTGCATACTTTTCCACAGATTTATCTTGCATTCCTTGTCGAATTTCCATTTGCGTGGGTTGATAACTTTGTGTCTGTCCTGGAGGGGTTCTCAACCCCCTCCCTCCCCCTCAGGCTCTCCTGACAGTCCCAAACCACTGCCCACTGTTTTGTTTTTCATATTTGTGCTTTTAATTTATACAGACAGAGACAGAACACATTAGAATAGAGACAGAGAGTTTGATGATATCTGTTCCATCTGCTGTATGTTTTTTTCACAGGAGTTACTGATAGAGAAAAACCCCGGAGTTGGCTGTGAGTTCGTCATGGGCACAAATCTTTACTGATGGCATAGACTGAACGCACTGACGCTCAGCAGCTAGCTCAGCCCTATCATATAGCATGCTCATTAAAAGCTAACTAAAAGATGACAAAATCCACAAAAACATCATGATCTGAAAACTGTGTGGCGTTGTGGTAGACTTAAAAACACATCTTAAATGGGTCTAGTTTTGTATTGAGCAGAATGAAACTTGAACTAGAAATAGACTGAATGTCTAATCCAAGACTCAACAGAAGCAGCATCTTGACTTTACCTTAGCTTATGAAACACAAACACACTACACAGTGAAGAGGAGGAGCTGAGTTACCTGTTGAACTCGTAGATGTCCTCTATGTTGCAGAACAGAGTGCTGACCTGCTCCGGCTTCAGCGGCAGAGCTCCACAGTCGATGATGCAGCCGAGATAGTCCTGCAGACACACACACAGACATAGAGTTGAAATACACACCTTTTCTTTTCATTACAAGCTGACTCATTTCAGTTTGACAGTGGCTCAGACAAAGAGTAAGCTACTATCAGCTGGTCACTTTACCAGAGAAAGCACACTCTTGTTCTCTGATGTCCTTTTTGGATTGGTGGTTTATTTGGTTTGCATTTTTCCTCTAATTACACTCATCCCCAGGACAGTATGCGTGTTTCAGCTCTGAAACCTACACCATATACCACACAATATAATACCTTATATATATATATATATATAGCACCTTTAAAAAACATAGTTCACCAAAGTGCTTTGACAAATGATTTGAAAAAGCGATGATAGTCAAAAGCAGACTGAAATAAGGTACAGAGTTACAGAGGGAGGACAAACAATAGAATACAATATAAATAAAAACAATTAGAGGGAGCAGATGCTGTATAGAAACACACACAGACACACACACACACACACACGCACACACACACACCTACACACGCAAACACAGTAAAAAGCAAAAAAAGGGCGATATGGAGACAATAAAAAGATAAAAAAGATGACATCACATACAAGCAAGTCTGTAAAAATTTGTTTTAAGAAGTGATCTAAAAGAAATAACTGTTTGTGCCTCATCTCCTCGGGTAGGTCGTTCCAAAGTCGAGGGGTCCTGATGGCAAAAGCGCGGTCACCTTTAGATTTAATCCTCAACTTTGGAACAACCAGAAGGACCTGCCTGAGGATCTCAGGCTGCGTACTGGCTCGTATGGGGTCAACAACTCTGTAATGTAGCTCCAGCATGCTTTAAAAGTGATCAGTAAAATCTTAAAATCAATTCTAAAATTGACAGGGAGCCAAAGGAGGAAAGTGAGGATTGGGGTGATGTGATGTCTGTTAAAGCTGCTGGATTCTGAACCAGTTGGAGGAAGATAGAGACTCAGGGTTTTAGGACGGAGTTACAGACGTCCAGTTTTGAGAAGATGAATGCGTTGACAACTTTGATCAGATGGTATTGTGCCGCAGGCTCACTGGCATAACTCAGCAGGAGGTTCACTGGAGCTGAGCCATCATTAATGTTATCAATTACTCATGTGTTTTCCCAGGTCCCCGGTAGGACCAGCCTATAGGTACCTTTACATGGAGCCTAATATCCCCATTATGATCGGTCAAAAAACCCAAATAGAATAAAAGTGCTCCATATAAACACCTCAATCTGAAGAAATCAGTTGCAGAAGGACAGTTCAAACCTCTTCATAAACTGATCAAAGGAAAAACTGTACCTGTAATATAACCTGATTGCTCTTTGGCTGCATCCTCTCTGGGCATGTCCTCAAACACGTGCCAGAGAGATAAGATAGCCGCTGAGGAAGATGAATGCAGGATGTATTCATCACTTCAGTGGATGTCACACAGCTGCATGTAAACACCAGACTGTATTAAAACTCATCCCATGTAAACAGGCAACCTGAAATCTTCAATCAGGAAGAAAAAACATCTGCACATAGCTGCAGCTGGAACTGAAAGGCCCAGTACAGAAAGTGTTTCCCAGCTAGGAGGCCTGAGGTTTGAACCCCAAGTCAAGAAAGTTGCTCATCTGCAATATATGGTCTTTAGTGATGCTGGGACATTATAGGGATGTTGTCAGCAGGGAATGTGTTATGGTACAGTCATACTGTGACACTTCAAACATATACTTTGTCTCTCATTCACCTCAAATGAGGCTTGTTGGAGTATGTTAGAATAAAGTGTGCTGGGTGACCTGATACCTGAATGGTTAGGACACATACCACATGGGTACAAGTTCTCTGAGCAGAGAGCACCTGATTCAACTCCCAGACATGCACCAACATCTTTGGTGCACATCATTCTCCACACCACCTCCACCGGCTGCAGCTGTGGTGTGGTGTGTTTCCACCACCACTATCAAGTTACAGTAAGTCCTTCCACAGTTACAGTGTTGAATGACCAGAGGTGTTTTTGCAGAACATTATGATGTCACAGTGAAGTTGACCTTTGACCTTTTGGATATAAAATGTCATCACTTCATTTAATTTGATGTCATCTAAGTTAAATTGTGTCATAAAGGCTCCTTTAAATAAAACGTATTATAATTATTTTTATTATGCTAATTAGACATCATGTGTCCTTGAAAGCAGATTTGGAATGCTACATAATAAATGTGAGATACTGGATATAAATATTTAATGTCCAGTACATTAACATTCCAGATATGAATACCCTGCTGCTTAATCTTCAAACTTTCCCCCAGGAAATGGAAGTGTCTGCTGCTTTTAAAGGGTTAAAGAGGATCAGAGGAGCTGATTTACATTCATTCTGTTTACTGTATGTGGAGTCAGTCAGTCGTGTTGTAATGGAAACTTTACCAAACTAAAATCCATCATACAATCCTGTCAGAGCCCAGATGATGTCATTTCCTGTGGTGGCTGGTAATTAGATTACAGTGGAGAGGAGTCAGGGGCGAGAGACACCGGGACATAGAGGGGGAGAGGGATGAGATAAGAGACCAAAGCAGACTGTCCTTACATTCACATAAACACACAGTTTTATTGGTAACACACCACCAAACACACACTGAAGCAAACAGAAGCCTGGACGCTGAGAAGCTGCCAGAGAAACTCTGAATATTTAAACTCAGACAGAAACTCTGCCGAGGAGGAAGAGAAATCTAGCCAAACAGAAAATAATGTGTGAGAAAGCACCAGAGGCTGAGGTCAGCTCACCAGATCCAGTCCAAGTTCCCAAACTGGGATCCATGACGTGTCTCTACATGGTCACCAAAAAGAAAACATGATTTGATTTGACTCTAATCTAATACACTATAAAAAAGACGCAGCATTTCTTAGCCAAAATAAAAGAATCTGGTTCTGTTCTGTTTACATGAAGAGCTGCAGCTGCAGTGACTGGGCCTGGGAGGGTCAGACAAGATTTCCTTTATATTGCGGATGTCTGACTGGTTTCATAAAACAAATCAGTTCAGGAATTTAAAGTTTATGCAAATGCAGAGATTCAGAGTTTTAGAACCAGGGTAAAGTGATGGACCAATTTGTTCTAGAAATATTAAATAAAATCTACCAAAAATGAACGTGCAAGACCTGGCTCTGCGTTACTCCTGCCAGAGACAGAAAGATTAAAACACAACCCGAAGTCACATGCACAAGTCTCTACTCTTGTCTGAGGTGTAACAGCAGTTGTGTGGCTAAAGAGTAAAAAGTCAGACTTGGTGACCGAACGCAGACGTACATGAAGCATGAACAGGAAAACATCAGTTATGCAGAGCGATGATAAGGAGGCTGGAACCTCCTCGCATTAACACATGAAAAAAACAGAGCTGTAAGTTTTTTTTTTGTTTTTTTTTATCATTGTCTTTTTTTAAAAAAAATGTATTTATCAGTTTTACATATCAAACTTACAACAATATAAATGGTTAAGCATTAATGACAAAAGTTGTAAGCCCCCACCCCCTCCAGGCGGCATCCCCAGACACACATACAAAAATAAATACATAAATACATAACAGTAAATAAATTAAATAGATAGTAAGATTACAACGATAGTGAAATAAATAAATAAATAAAAAACCCAAACAAATAAGTAAATAAATGAAACATACATACACATAAATGACCAAAACTGACCTGTTTAGATTACGCTACACATAATACCAGCATTCTAGACCCCTCAGGAGGATAGGCAGGTAACAACTCCAACCACCACAATCATAGTCACCTGAATATCCAAATCAACACTCAAGAAAGAATAAATAAAAATGACATGAGTCAAGTTAAGGTTAGGCTTCTCATATGGGTGATAAACATCGACCAGAATTTGTCATACTTATCTTCCAACCCACGTACTATATACCTAAGTTTTTCCAGATCAAATCCCAGCATCACTTCCCTGGTCCAATGAATATAGGTGAGGTTCCTTCCTTTCCAATTAAGCAGCATCAGACGGCGGGCAAGCAGCGATGCATAGGCAATTGCATTTTTATGAAGGCGGGAAAGCTCTAATTCATTATAACTATTCCAAAGATTTTCTACCTAATTTCCTACCGGATATTGTCGAGAGTGATTGAAAGTCAGACGTCCAGAAAGTGATGGACATGACCAGAACATGTGTCCCAAGGAAACGGGGAAATAATGACATCTGGGGCAGTTTGGGGTAACATTAGGATATAATTTAGCTCATTTGTCATTGGAGTAATGTAATCGGTGGACTACCTTAAATTGGATTAATCCATATCTGATACGGAGAGAAGTGTGTATATGCAAAATATTGTTTTCCAAGGTATCCTCTGGAATACACTCTCCATGTCTCCTTGCCACCCTGCTTTATCTTTGTCCCATGTGTGAAGGCAACTATTCAGAATGAATGTATATAGAGGGAGATAGGGAGCCGATCATTTTTAGTATGTTCTAAAATAGATCTGTAGTTGTATTTAAAATGGCCTCAACTGAACCTGCTATCTCAATTCCCAGATAAGTACATTTTTCTTTTTCAAGAACACTGATATTATTGCTTGAGAGAGTGTTCAAAGCAATTTTCCAATGGCCAATGATTCATCATAAACAGATTTTAAGATAGGCACAAGTTTTGGAGAGAATTCCCTATAGAACTCGATGGGAAACCCATCTGGGCCCGGTGTCCTCCCTGTTCAAGATAGCCTAATAGCATTTGCTATTTCTTCAGATGATAATGGCTGTTCTAAGGACAACTGAGTGTCAGGAGCAAGTCTTGGTATATCTAGAGAGTTAGGAAATGACTGAATTTCAGACAAATTAGAAAGCAAGTGGGGGTCTAGATGCCAGGTGCGCTGGGGCACTATATTATCTGGAAATATCATATCTATTTGTACTGGGCTGTGGTCTGATAGCACTATGCTATGGTACTGACTATTGGGAATAAAGGGAAGTATTTGGTCATCTACAACAAAATAGTCGATCCTGGAGTAACTATTGTGGACGGGGGAAAAA